AAATATTGGGTAAGTGTAGGAAACTGTGTGAAGAAAACAGGGGCTTTTGTGCAGAACTGACCCAGAGGGTAGAAAAGGAGGCAGAGTCCTGAGCCAAATGTCACGTGGGAGGCACAACTGGACGTTCACCTTCTAGGTGATGAAATTTTTGGGAAGAAGATAGGGGCCTTATCAAATAAAAGGAGATGTAAATGGCTTGTAACAAGCTATACAATATAGAGTTGCCCTGTACTTGCCGTTTCTTCTGACATACTAACTGGCCATGACTTGTTCTGTTTTGCCAACATAACTAAAGTCATAGTACATATACAGTACTTTATTCCAGTAAAGGTTTTTTGGTTAGTTTTGTTTGGGGTTTTTTTGGTATAAACAATACCAACATCAGGATTTTTGGGGAGGCTATTTGGAACCACACAGGCAAGTCAAAGGTGTACAGAAGGTCTCAGTGACAGAGCCACTGTTTCTGATTTAACAATTCAGAGTACTCTAACTCTGCAGCAGGCTGGATTAAATTATTCCAGCTGGCCAGATGCTTCTCATAGGCTGTCTATCTGACAGTCCTGCTTCTAAAAATATCAGAAGTTGGATTTGCAACACTGATCTCTCTGATAAGTAATCCTTTACTATCACTAGAAGTTCCCCACTCACATAGAATATGCCTGCAGTTAAAGAAATTGCAGTAGTAGGAGAAGGCTGGTATTTCGGTATTTCCAGCCTCCCCCTTTGATTCCCATTTTCTTGTATTTTATTCAGTTTTCTTAGTGGCTTTTAGCAACAGCAAAAGTAAATCTCAGTTCCAAACTGTGTGTATAGCTTGCAATATGTATTCATTTATCTAGATAGTATTCTGGCTTTCATTTTGCTTCTTATGTAGCAGATGAAATCATTGTGTGTTTATAATCTCTGTCAATGGGTTTTCAAAGGGTGACTTGGTGGGCAGAGAAGGAGAAATCTATTTTTTCCATGTGTTGTGGACTATGGTCTCTTGTTTGAAAGTCTCCAGCTATTGAGTTTGTGAAAAGTGCATAACATCAAATAATTAAGCTCCTTGACTTTCTGCCTTTACACTGATAAGGCTACTACAGTGCACAGCCATAAAGTGGTTGGAGGTCTCCTGCAGTGCATTTTTCTGCTTAGGAAGAAAAATTGGTGTGGGTTTTTGACGCTGCCACATGGTAAAGTTAAAGGATCCTATTTTCACCATGAACCTTTTGGAGATTGTTACCTTTTTATTTTAACAAGGTAGACAGTGCCTGAGCAACAGCACTCTGGTAAGTTCTGCTGTATTTTGTACTGCTGCTGTCTGAAAGGAAGATGGTCTTTCTCATTAAACGATATGGACTCTGAAGCATTAAAAACTGTTTTGCATAGAGACGTTAGGCAGCAGACACAAATGACTGATGTCCTAGTTGGGGACTTTGCTTGAGCCAAGATTTTCTTTTAATCGTTATAATACAGTAGGATGCTTATGCAAAGAGTAGGGAATGAAACACACTCAAGTATGTATCAGAGGGACAAGTAAATGCTCAATTTATTTATTGAAGCATTCCAAAGCCTGTCTTTCTCTCTACCTTAAGCAGTGCCAAACATATTGATGATAATCTGATACACAGTTTTAAAGCCTGTATGCTCAAACTATCTAAGCATTAGTTCAGTTATTCTGCCTACTGAAGTGATAATTAGGGGCTAAAAGGTAACCAGATTATTGTAGAGATCTCTCTCGATAGCCTTTAACACCTAGTTAAACGTTAAAGCCTGAAAATTCCAAGCCTCTTAGTATCATTCAGACCACAGTATATTTTGAAGTAATTTGCTATTTCTAGATTGTTTTTCATGCCATGGTACCACTCCAGTGCTCTCTAGCTTGCTCTGAGTGCCTGCCCACTTGCAGAACATCTTCACTAGGCAAGAAAAGTCCCTAAGAACAAACTTCTTGCTTAGTATGGATCTTAGGTGGGATTTCCAGATGCGTGAAGAACATTGCAGCTCCTTCAAGATACACTGGGGCTGTTTAAAAGCTTCCACCTTGTCTGCACTTGGATTTAATTTAGGTCTGTTTGAGCCAATCTAATAATTTGCCAGTGCTGTGAGGGAGAGGTACTGCTCTCTCCCCTGACCTCTCCCCAGGTTCCCCTTCTCTCTCTGCAATCTAATAATTTGCCAGTGCTGTGAGGGAGAGGTACTGCTCTCTCCCCTGACCTCTCCCCAGGTTGCCCTTCTCTCTCTGCAATGTGCTGACTTTAATGTGCATTGGAGACCTCAGTGAAAATGAGGGGACAGATATGGACGGGAGTGGAGGGAAGGAGGAATAGGAATGAGCTCATTGTGATCTACTGGAATGGATCACACTTCTTGGGTAACTTCATCCTTGGGAATTGTTTCCACAGCAAAATAGAGGTTTCAGTAAAACCCATAGTGGGTTTGTCCAACCCAAATAAGAACAGCAGTAACAAGGCAGTGTCGTGGGAGTTAGTGTGCAATTAGCAGTCAAACAGTGCAATCCTCCAATGATTTTTCTGTGGTTGCCTACACCTGCTAAAGCCTAAGCCAGCAAATATTCATTGCTATTCTCACCTGCACTAGCTAACTTAAACTAATGCACTTATGCAGTTATTTTTCTTTATCCCATCTCCTCTGACAGCATTATCCAATGCAGAAGTGATAGTAATTAGCAGCAACAGTCTTGAAAGCGTACGTTACATTATAAAGACATGTACTCTGTCATAAAGTCAGTTGGCTTGTCTACCGTTTTCTTACTGTAGTTGCTGGGAGCTGTAGACATTACACCTTCCAGTACTGAGAGCTTATCGAAAACCGCTTATTTATACAGACAGCACTTGTATGGGTGGATGTATATTCTAAGAACACCATCAGCTGCCGTCCTTCATTGAAAATTTGCACCCATGCTATTCAGCATGATTGATTTGAATCTGTGCTTGTACTTTGGAAACAGTATGTGTTCTATAAATAGGCCTTAACTGTGGAGATGCAGGTTCAAATTAGTGATTAATACTTGACCTGATTGGAACTTTCCTGTCTAGCTGCCCACAATGGCTATCGGAAACTTTGAAAAACACATCCTCAAAGGACAGAATTCATCTCGCCATCTGAAATGGAGGTGTCTAGTCTAAGCTACTTGGCCTGTTGTTTGTCTCTGCTCTGTTGTCAAGGGAGATGCATCTCCACGGAGCGATTTGTCTTGTCCTAAGGGATACGTCTCTGGCTATCAGGAATGATCATCCTCTGAAGATGCTAATCTCTTCTTATTCACTGCAGGAGGAATTCAGATAACTAGATGAATCCTGCATATACTGTGGATCCAGCTGTGCATGACTGACTGACTGACAGTGGTTTCCACTTAGCTAGGTTTTCTACTTTCATTAAGAAAAACTTGAGGTCTCTGTTAGCAAATAATATCAAATGTTAATAGTACTTCAAAACTCCTACTTTCGAAACCAGAAGAGCCCAGTTAAGTATTAACATTAAGTATTGCAAAATAATGCTCTACGTTTTTACCTTTTGTTATAGTCTATGACTGATGAATTTATAACTTAAAAACTCTTTTAAAAATATCTGAAATTATGCTGATACATCGTATCAAGTGCAATGGTATGTTTCAACCAGATTTTGGCTATCTTGTTCAGTCAACCTGCTTTTGTTTGAATATTGCTCTTCTGTAAATCTGATTAGCAAAGCAAAGACCTTATTTACTTAACTTTCAGCTCTTAAAGGAGTAATACATTATATGTTCACTTATCACAGAATTTAATGAAGGCAACCAGAAGTCAGTTGTGTAATACATAAATAATTTCATGAAAAAGCTGCCACTGGCTATACTATACATCTATGTAGCTTATAAAACAAAGCAAATTATCACCATCCATTATAATACCATCATTTGACAACTCTGCAATTAATTTCCTACTCTTAAATAACTGCTGTTGCACAGTGCCAAAGAAAATGCCATGCATTAACTGACTCATCACCAGAGTCTGTGATAGATAGTACAGATGGTAGTTTGATTATTCATCTCCAAGAAAATAAGTGCTTTATTATGAAAAACTATTCATTTTTGTCTTCTGAAAGAATGGTAAAAGGATACCTTGAGTATCTTTAAAAATAATCCCTACAGTAATATACACTTATTCTGAAGCATTATTTTATTTGTTAAGATTTGTGGAGTAGAGTTGCGTGCCAGATAGTTCACAGACACGGCACAAGCTGATGAAGGATGCGGTACTACAAAACCCATGCATTTCTTCTATGTAAAAATGCTCCTACATAAGAAGAATGGAAAGATTCTGCTTTGCCTACCAGAAAGTCTGCAAACTTTACTATACATCTTGAAAAAGTACTCTATATACAAGACTAAAGTATTTATCCAGCAAGAGTAATGGGCTATCCTGCAATAGCTACCAGGATCATTAAATTACGGTCTTTTATGGGACATTTACAGACACGTTTTTAAAATACAAAGCAAGTACCAGTTCTGCCAGGGTTTACTTGTGGAGTTAATTTTATGTCTTGAGCAGACCAACAGACTTCTGTGAACCCTCTCTAAAATCAAGTATCACCTTATTTTCACATGAATCAAAGGCAGAATGATGCTCAATGTAAAGTGTTACACACCAGTGAGTAGCAAAAGTAGCACTTTTGTAAGAACTTGAAGCACTTTCAGTATTACTTTGTGGTTAACCTTGTATTTGCATTTACTAGGGATATAAAGGACCCATCAAAAGATACTTGATTACTTTGTAAGTAGCACATATGAGAATATAGGGTGTCTATGCATACAATAAATACAACAGTTTCATTTTTAGATATGAGTCACACAATTTGCAGTGCATGGGCAAAAAAAAAAAAGTAATTCCCTGATTTTCAGAATGGATAAAGGGAAACAATTTTTATGAGTACGAATTAGTTTGCAAATACCTTCAGGCAGAAAAGGAAAGCGAGTAATTCATACTGGTTCATTTGTAACTCCAGATATGTTGACATACCTCCCCAGAGAAAGCCTGTCCATTGAGTAGATGCTCTGATCCCTGGCTGTCTTCACTTCCAAAGTGTAACCGGATTTCCTCTAAGCGGTGACTATATGTCATCGGTCCTCCAGAGATGTTGACCAAATGCTCTTTGTCTAATCGTAGAGATACATGTCTCCCTGTATTATACATCGTCCCACTGACCTAAACAAAATGGAGGGGGAAAAAAAGGCATTTTTTCAAAATAGTTTGTAAATTCTAGGAAGTAGTTTATATGTACTTCAAGATTTTGTTCTTTACACACCTTCATTTAAATGTAGCAATACATCTTATTGTTGTGAGATGAAATACACAACCTGAGGTTATATTTCAACTTCTGCTTTGAATCTTATACTGTATATTCAAATATTTTGCTAAATCCGTATGTACATATTTTAGCCAGGGGCACATGGTTAACACAGTGAATAGGATTATTATACTTCTAAATAAGTAGGCTTTTAGAATATTTTTTATGCAAGGTCTGAATAATGGCTTCATTACAAAATTTCTGCACTGAAAATGGGAACATTTCAGCTGACATAAATTATTTAAGTACACTTGAACAAATCTGAAATTTAACTCATTTTTCCCTTCTTTTAATATTTATAACAAAGTTACCCAAAAGTAAAGGTGCTGCAAAAAGCAGAGATATAATTATTCATAAATAGGGAGCCCTACTCCTACTGGAGCTGCAGGTAAAAACTTTCACTGTCCTCCTCTGCAAGTCTCTTTGTTTTGTTATGAATATTTTCTGTTTACAATTGCCAGATATTTTAGCCATAGCAGTACAGAATTAATTACAATTCAATCATGTATCTCCAGTTCCTAGTACACCTCAAACTGCTGTAATGCTCTTCAAGATTCATCTTTATTTTTAAAAAGAGTGAATGTTGTGCTTCATTTGCAAACTGATTTACAGCTGCTGTAATGAAAAAGAAAATTATTGTGGAAATTTTTCACATGGAATATAATTCTGTCATAATTTCTACTGTCATAGGAAAAGTTCCTATAGCGAGAGGTTCCTTAATTTATGCCATTAGAAAGTGAAATATGCTAGTTTGAGTTAAAGTAGAATTGTGATTTATTTAAAAACATTCTGCATGGATACAAATGGTACACTTGAATAACATTCATTTACTTTAAGAAGAGGAAGTGTAGCAAAAATATGCTTTGTTGCACTTCAATTTAAAATTAAAGACATGACGATTATGTATGATAAGTTATACTATATCACTACTATAGTAGTTAACATTGCTGCAGTGTCATTTTATCTGTAATACTAATTACGGAGTTTAAATGACCTGTTTTCTTGCACAGTATGTTGTAAAAAGTTAAACTGAACAGACTGTGCAATAGAACTAAATGGATGAGATTAAACAGGTTTTGATTGTTGTGTTTTTTTAGCTTTGATACAGATGTTCTATTTTTTGTTTATTCTAATTCAAAATAAACAGTAATAAATTTCTCATGAAAAGTAATAAACACAAATATTCCTATTCATTGCAAATAAAACACAATGATCTTATTTATAAATGCTCCTTAGTTTTTCTGCTTGACTTTGCATGCATAATAATTAAGTAGCAAGTTTAGTTTAATAGGTGGAAGAAGGTCAGTTTATTGAATTCCGTTTCAGTACACTGCATACGGATGACACAAAATTGCTCATCATAAGTAACAAATGTAGTTTAAAAACAAATAGGGGAAAATGGTTCAAAGCCTCTTATTCACATTTGGAAACTCATGCTTCACTGAACACTCAGTTAAATTTAGCAACTATGCAAAATATTCAGAATCCATTTTCTTACTTAAATTGGTGCAAATCTCAAATTAGGTTACCATTATTTTCTCTCTGAAGGTAAAAGTGACCCAAATAACCCCTAATATGAATCAAATAACTCTCTGTAGAGCAGAGAGGGGAAATGATAAGAGGCAAATTAATGAACAGGAGTAACATTTGTCTTTCTCATTTCCCCCCTCATAAAAATGCAGTGCTTGTAATGAGATTGTATTCACTGTTTTAAAACAGAATTTCCCTCCGTAACTGCAGATGGAGAATACCAGTAATGCCATGGAGTATCTGACGTGCCTCATTTCTGACCTGCAGGGAGGGATGAACACGTGAAGTGAGATTATAAAAACCTCCTGCATGGGCACACAGCCTTGTCACCAGGAAGCACAAAATCCAAGATCTTCAATAGCAGATACGCAAGGTCTTCTCAGGTTTAAGAGAAGCACTAGCTTTCTTGTTGCGAGTGTGTGCCCGAGGGAAGAGTAGCCACACATGCCAGTCCAGCTTCAGGACCAAACTGCACCTGACAGGCCCATGCCCCTTTCTTTTCTTGAGAGTGCCAACATATACCACCATTACTAGCAACTTTTTAATGGGCACTTCTTTTATGGGCATTTGCTTACTACAAGAAGAATAGAAGTGTCTTATGTTTGTCATCTACTCGGATTACATCTGAATGAAAGACTGAAATATTTAGGAACTATTTTTTTTTTATTTCTGGAGACTTTCTGACTTGCCCAGATTGTATAGTAGGCTGTGCTTGACTATGGGAAGTACCACCGCAACACTATGTGAAATTCTTTATTGCGGTTCGGGATATTGTCTGTTTTATGTACAAACCCAATATCTTATCACGTTTAAAATTGTACATTTCAAGTACAGACATTTACAGTTGTAGGACATAGTATTATGTAAGTGCAATCGCCTTCTGTTTGCAAGCTCGAAGTCCACAAATGCTTTATACTGAGTAGGAAAGTGTCATGCAAAAAACAATGCAAGAAAAAAAAAGTCGTCTTCCATTGTTTTCGGCAGACTATAATGCATTTTCTTTTCACTATGCACAGTTTTAACTGCTACTGGAGAAAAAGAAGGTTCTGATCTTATTCACTATGTGAACCTACTGACAAAAGAAGGATTCTCCATATTTTATGGCACCGAGCCTTTAAAGCAACTCTCATTTTAGAACATCAAACTGAGTTGGTTTTGTAGAAAGCAAAGTTGCATGTGGTCTTGTAAAAGGCTGTAGGCACAGAAGTTAACGAGGAGGTATTTTCTGTATTTTTGTACATTCTCCTACAAGATAAACAGTATGAAGACAGGGGCGCCTTACGGGAAAGATGTTGACTCTGCCTGGTACGGTCAACAGCATCTGCTACTCCAGAAAGCAGAGTATTTATTTTTTATACCATTCTGTGGATTGGATAAAATGTTATAGGGTAGTTTAAAAGGATAATATAAAAGATCTGTTAAGATCTATATAAGTATTTCCTTAATGTGTCGGACTGATCTTTGGTGCTAAGATGGCCTTTGTGTTGCTTCTTGCTCTGTTATTAGGTAACCCTTTTGTTCTGTTTCTGTTTGACTTGAAAGTTATATAAAGATGAAAACATAGCAAACCAACTTGGGGAAAAAAAGAGCACTAACTCTTGTCCTCCTATTTTTCAAAAGGATCAATATTCACATTTATCTTATGCACTAGAAATGAGACTATAGTAAAGAAAACATACATTAAAACGTCACTAAAAGCCTGTCTGAGAAAACAGCGAAGTCCAACATTGTCGGTTAATGATCATACCACATTCTTAGCTGACCCCATTTTCCTCATACATTAAGAAACGTTCCCAAACAGGTAATTTTACCTGTGGCAAAATCCCCAAGTAGAACAGATGTTGATGGGCTTCAACTTTAATTGTGGAATAGCTCAACTTTGGTAGACTTTAATTAAATTATTAACAGAAAACAGCGAAGTCCAACATTGTCGGTTAATGATCATACCACATTCTTAGCTGACCCCATTTTCCTCATACATTAAGAAACGTTCCCAAACAGGTAATTTTACCTGTGGCAAAATCCCCAAGTAGAACAGATGTTGATGGGCTTCAACTTTAATTGTGGAATAGCTCAACTTTGGTAGACTTTAATTAAATTATTAACATATTCCTGATGTAGTTATTTTCTATTTAATCTCATTCATTTTAATTCTTGCTTCACAGAGCTTTGTGCACATAATTCCCCAGCAGCATTATTCTCTCTCTTTATCTTGATGCAAGAGAGCCACACAGGCACACGCTGCTAATATATTCTATACTACGTTTGTAAGTAAGATCTGAATACTCATGTGGTATCTGTGTATAACTTGCTGGTCCTGTGATCACAAAAAAGTCCTAATTCTGCTCTTTGAAAGGTGGAACACAAGCAAAGTCAATAAAAATGCACACCTAATAAACACAAACTCTTTGATGCATGTTTGTCTTGAAACTCTGCAGACCTTTATGACCATTAGGAAAAAAACCTCCAAATAATCCCGAAACATTTTTTTCCTAACGATGTTCTTTTAACCCTGCATTTGTGGAAGCATTTTTGTTGTGCCCTAGTCAATTGTATATCTTGTTCACTTCGTCTTTTCTTCTGCAACTAGTCCTGAGTTAAAAATTTTTCAGAACTTCCTTTGTGGCCTACATCTTTACATTCCAGTCTGTGTTAAAATAGCCTTCAAAACCCTGAGCAGAAGTGACAGAAAAAGAAGCCTGTTTCAGGGCAAAGCCATGCTGGAAATGTAAGCAGGGAATGCAAGAGGAAAGGAGAAGGAGCTGGGATGGACTCTTTGCCTTTCAATCCCGTGCTACGTTAGCAGTTCACTGTCACCTTTCTTCAAGGCGTAGCACAGGCTCTCTTGCTTCCTAGGGGCCTTTACAAAATAGCGAAAGAGTGCATTTTGGATTTATTCAGGTAAGAGTGGTCTGAAGATTAGTTCCAAGAACATTTTTAAACTTGTATCAGTACCTGCCAGTGGAGCAGCATTGAATGTAAGGAAGCAAGAAAATCAACTGTGCATGGCTGCCTGCTGTGGTGCCCTTGGATCTTATCTGCAATACTAGATGTTCCTTTCTTTAGGATGAAAATAGATACAGCCCAAAGAAGGGCCTAGTACTGTGTAGGGAAGCAAATCACTGAGGATTGAAGAGTGTTTTGAAGGTGTCGTAGTGCCCCAGTTTTATATCCTGCAATAATCAAGTTTCTATCATCTGCCACCTGGCTTCCATATTTTCCTCTTGGAGTCCTATATTCCAGCGGAACAGGAAAGCAGCTCTGCAAGCTCAGGGAGTGGTGGGCTTTCCTCCCCTGTTAGCAGCACCTGAACTATTAATGCCACATA